GTTCTTTCGGGAAGGGTATGTTTAGGATGTTTACACCTGTCAGCAGTTGGAGGATTTCCATGTCAAGGCACATAGCTAAAGATCTCTAAGAAAAATTGAAGAGCCTCATTTTAGCTGTAATCTTCAGGGAGAGCCATGGCAGGGCAGAAGCAAGCTCTTTGTGTAAGGGAGGAAGCGGTGGACATTGCAATCATGTGTTTGCATTATTGTTCTAGTTGAATGATTACTCATGTTTTAATATCAAAGACATCCAGAGTGATGCAATCTTTACAAGACTACCCCAGTCTTGGTATATTTCGAGAGCAGTTTCTCTGTGTTAATCACACTTGATTTTCTTGTTGCAGTATCCCACTAAATCTGCATTTTTCTATCTAGATTAGGCAACAGAAATACAATATTTGTGAATTCACCATGACTGTACGAACGTACTTGTTTTGGTTGTTGTTGTACCCAATTCAAGTCACGTAACACTCACGCGTGAGTTAGCCGAATTTGTCTATTAGTGAGGAATTTACTGTCTCGTGCTTACTCAAGGATAAATTCGTGTTTCATGCAAGGGAATGAAATAACCCTTTCTACGGTACATATGGGTCACACACTAGGCATAATCACGCATGCATGTGTTTTTAAGGGCAACTCCTTGCAACGGTAGTTATTAGTAATCCCGCAACTCCTACGATCATAGCACCAGCTACAGGCTACCATTTGACTACCTTTGGGGCAACTTTCTCCAATCTTCTGTGCAAGTCATTACCAAAAGAAGTGTTTTACCCTTTACCTTCATTGTTAGCTATGATTTCCAAGAAGCAAGTTTTCAATGTCAAAATGTTGCTATAATGGTCACAACAACAAATGACTGATTTTTTTTTATCACATTGTTGTTGTCATGATCTACTTGTCTTTTCAGTGTTATTACATTCAGCTCAGTTTTTCACCAATATTAACCCTTCTCAGTTGTTTTAGGTATTGATTATGTCTGTAACATGCCTATGTAGCTAAATGCTGTACACATATCTAAGCTATACTGTATTTTTTAATTATATTTCGTATTGAACCTGCACTACCTTCTACCTTATTGTGTGCTCAACTCTCACTCTGCCTTCTGTACTGAAACTACGAACTTTTGTTTCGCGGCTACAACTAGCTTCAAGTCTACTACAGTTACATTGTTGTATTTTTAAAACTTTTTTCTACCGTAATCTACCTTCTGTCATTCACCATC